TTTAATTGTTGGTTCTTTATTATTCAGATAAGATAAAAATTCTAATAAATAATAAAATAAAAATTGAATTTTTTGGAAAAATCGACCTCTTACCTATGAAATTTTCGACCAAAAATCAAAATTTTGCAATCGCGTTTTTTTCCCTTATTGGATTGTTTCCGACCTAAGAAGGTGCCCGATAGCGAACATGAAAGTTGTGGGTCGAAAATAAGGAAGATATCATCCGTTGAAGATTGCGACCGTTCAAAAGAGTCAGAAAATGTTGATTATTTGGGAACTGGAAAGGCCCCGGTAGTTTTTAATTAGTTCGTTGCATTCCTTGTTTCTTTCCGATGAAAATGATGTAGCAGTCGAGGTATTTTGAGAAACTACAAAATCTTGAAGTATTATGGAACCTCTTCCGACTTATATATGCGATATAATGCATCCCACTGATTAGCATCTAGGAGTATTGAAAAACTTGCCAGACCGCATGAATAAGGAACGAATCTCTCGCACGACTCCATTTAAGAGCAAACAGTTGGATACCGTTTGCGACTACAGCTTTTAGCCCTTGTCATCGGTTCATTTTTAACAAGCGCGCTTCGTATGCAAATTTTCTTTTGTTTCCTCTACAGCGGTCTGGACCGTAGGTATCTAGGTTGGTATCTCGTGGGTTTTATTTGACCCGAAAAACAAAGAAAGCCGCAGCTCATAAATATTCTTTCCTCGACCTCTTTCCTCTTGGGATACCAATCTTACGAGAAACGAGCCAACCATCAACCATAGATAGTCGAGATATTTCAAAGCAAGCGAAAATTGCAACCTAGTTAGTATAGACTGTTTTTCTGGTAATAAAGGCGCTGGTGGTTGCCGAATTATGCCAGAAGTCATACAAAATGTAATTAGTAACAGTAAGTAAACGTAAGGCAGTAAAATGTGATCATTTTTGAACATCAATAAAAACGATGTTATTAACAAATTTTATAATTTATTCTTGCTAATATTTTTCTTTGCTCTTATACACACAGGGTGATTAAAAATTGGCGCGATTCCTTTGAAGGGCCTACAGGGCATCACATTTTTTGCGCAAATTTCCAGAAGTTGAACCAGTTGAAGATCGGTCCCATCTTTGATTGGTAACCTATTGAAATACTTAACCGTTCGAAAAGAATAATTACGCTCTTTACTTCAAATTACGAACATTTTTGATATTAAAAAGCCACTCTTTTACAACTTGCTAATGAAAAGTCAAAGCAGCGATGATATTTTTTGTTTTCAAACGTTTGTTTTCATTTGACGCTCATTTTCACATCATTCCCGAGAGAACTAAATGGTCTTTTTAGAAAGTGAATCGTCGATAAGGAAATGTTGGCAGATTTCTCGAAAAAGTCTTGATTTCAAGAAGTTTCAGATGAGGGTGTTTTTTATGAGTTGCAAAATCGACTCAAGCATGATGCTGCTTTTTTCGAAATTTCTCAAGAACCATATGAGCTACAGAATTCGTTTTGGCATCGTTGGATAGAGAATTGAAAATTCGATTCAGTCTAACAACATGAGTGGGGAAATTCGAGTAGTTTTGACCCAGAAAGCGAAATTTGCATATACATTCAGCAGCAAACTCAGTCTTTTGTCTATCAAATTAGGAAAAATATCGGTAACACATATAAACCCGGCGAAGTCCGCGCTTGCATGCGTCCGAAAGTACATCAATCTCCTAATTTTAGAGCGATACAATAATTTTTTTTGTACATTTCATACAGGAATTTGTTGGAAACCAAATTTAATATACTGTTGTTTGTTTCAGGAACGTGTTACATCGGCAATAAAAATCTATTCACTCTCTGGTACCTAGCGTTAGTGCCGCACTTCCTTTATTTTTGCGCTGGAGGACTACTGCTAACGATAGGCTGGATCTTCGTTCTCAAGGCACCGAAGTTGCCACGGAATTCCTTATCGACGCCACTCACTCAGGGGCAGCCCCGCACGGAAAGGGATTTTCTGGGCGCTTTGGCAACATTGTATGTGGTTCCAATTTTTGTAGTAATGATGAGTTATTTCATCGAATATAGTGATAGGTGAGTACAATCATGCAGGCATTAAGTTCAGATTAGTAGGTATCTAAATTTCTAAGTATGTAGTTCAGTAGTCATTTCTTTCTTACACGCTCTTGTAATTATACTCAGTAACTACGTATAACTCAAAAAATACGAGTAGGTAATATTAGGTACCCGCGCTTTTCTGCCGTTCAAATCGTAGATGCATAGGAATGAAGTCGGAGAGCATATTTTTTGCGTTCTAGCGTGAAGTTCTAGAAGATTTCTTTGCACTTTTTGCCAGCTTAGATCTTGAAGCTGTATGAATGGAACCCATTACGATATTCCCTTTTATGGATAAACTTATATGTTTAGAAATAAGGAACCTTCTTAATACTATTGTTTTCGTTCCTGAGGTAATGTTTATTATTATTTGCAGAGAAAAATGGTTGAGTGGAGATCAGAAACCATCGATGTGGTTTTTTTTGCTATTGCGCCACTTCATGTCCTTATTTATGGGAATCAGTTCTGTTTTGTGGATTTGGTGTGAAAAATCCGCTCAAGTATGGAAGTCGGCTTTGAAACGTCTTGGGCCCCGGTTCAAGCCCAACAAAAATACAATAGCTTTAAAGTAAGTAAAGTTTTCGATATAGTATATACTGAGTGATCAAATTAAATCAAAATTAGATCTCACTTGAAGAGTACGAAACGATTCAAACAATTTACAAATTAATTTTAAAATAATTAATTGGAAAAATGCGGAACGTACAAATCCATTAAGGGAGACTTTTTCGACAGCGATTTTTTGATTAGGCTGCTCTTACAGTCTTGATTAGCGACAGTTATTTACCTCGATGAATTAAGAAAAAATTGAAAATACATTATTTTTATCACTTTTTTCTACATATCTGCATGCTTTGAAGTATTTTAGTAATGTTCACGAAGAAGAACCAGTAACCAAATTATTCCCAGCTACAAAAGTGACGAGTTTTCCGAATAATTGATTCTAAACTTTGCACTTGTTCTGTTCGGGAAAAAATTATTAGAGTTTTCTCCAAATTTCGAACCTGCAAAATGTTCCAGAAAAAATTTACAAAGCTGTTCAGAAGCCGCGTGTTCCAATAAAATGTATGTTATAATTTTCACAGAAAATACCTGAAGATTGTCAGTAATTTAAGTAAAAATCATATGTCTTTTTGCGTAGAAAGAATTGCTTAATAAAAACTTTGCTAAAATTGGAATGACCTGAAATTTGAAAGAAACTTGAAAACTCTTCAGAGCGATGACAGTTGCGAATTTTCCAAATATTTTTTTGGAATGAGCCCAATTTTCTAGCAAAATCAATTTAGCTATTTTTGAAAATTAAATTTTTTTGCGTTTTTTATATTTCACCCGGTGAAGTATTGTTGAGAGTTTACGGGACACTCTAAATATGCTTCTAAAATACTTATAATAGACTTATAATAGTGTTAACTATTTTTAAGGTATTCCGTTCCACATCATTCTGGGGTTATCAGTATGCAGGGCAGTGCATACAGTGGTTCAAGACAAAGTAGTCACCCTCATTCGAGCAGAAAGTCTTCTAGAAGTCACCACCTACGCAATGGAAATGAAACGGTCATTTAAATTGGTCTAAATATGGCAGTGTTTTAAATCGTGCAAAAAGTCATCGATATACTGATTGGAAATTTCCTATGACAAAGTAGATGATTTTCGTTAGCCTTCAATGGCTAAGCTTTTCAAGCTATATATAATTTTCTCAAACAATGTTCTGACATCACAGAGTAGAAAATTTTGTTAATTTTATATTGTCTATTTGGGTCCCTGCCGTTGCTCGTCAATGGCTAGGCATCAAATTAAAGGACTGAAATTATAGTATTACAATAATCAGGTCCATTTAAAATCACTATCACAGTGAAACCTCAATACATTTAATTTATTTGTATTACTCATGTGCTACAAACGATCGCATTGTCTAAATCTCTTTTAGTGAAAGTGTGCACTTTCTACACTTCTTTTAGGATTAATAAGTAGTAGCTTCTAAATGCTTACTTTGGTGCATTTGTATTTTTTTGTATATATGTAGAACTGAGAGCAATTTGAATGGTCTGCTAATCTAGTGCCAGTTTTATTGCAGACCTTTTTACAAAACAATAACCTAAAGTTTCAAAACTCGCGGGTGGTAAGACAACTAATTATGTCGAATAATAGTATATTATATACCTAGGTAGAGAAGTAAGCTATTATATACCGAGAACTTTTATATATAATGTGCGAGGTATTTAATAGTCTTCTCGACCGAAGTATATATATAGAATTTTTTTGCTACTAACACGGATAATTTCCTAAATTGATTTAATTAGATTTTGAATTTCCAATAAATTTTCTGAAAAGTGACATTATATTTGATATTCTGACGTTCAGTTGGCAATTTTTTCTGTCTCCAGAAAACTGCGGGCGAAATAGTTCTATGAAAAACTCTTGGGAAAGGCGAAAAATTTGTGAATGTTAAAGTTAAAGTGATTTTCGAACTGAAAATGGATGGAATGAATCTCTCTTGAACTTATAAAGGTGGACAACTAACAATAATGAAGAACGTACACATCTTTCATTATTTACCTAGGGACTTTTTTATTATTTTGATTGACCTAGGGAGAGAAATATAACTTCTAACTAGCGAAATGGAGTAAATAATGGGGACTTCTCGGGTTAGTAGTAAAAAAACATATCTCATGGTGGCGTCATTTACATGCATTATAATGTAAATAGTATTGATACATAGTATTTATTTTGTTAACTAAGTTATACTTAAATCAATGATTTGATAATATTTTTGTATTTAGCTCGCTATAGGAGAGGGCTTTTGGAGACTTTTCTCAACATTATTTAAATACGTAATGTTTCGCCTCATTTCGTAGAGTTAAGTGCTTGTTTATTTTCAAAAAATCAGTTGTTGGAAAAAGACTAGTCTTGTGTATTTTCAAACTAAACCTGTGTGAAAAAAATTAACTAACACAAAGTTGTACCATCATATGGGCAAAACATATTTTTATTCGAATGAATCTGAAACTGCCATTTTTCAATCAGAAGCGATGATCATAAAGAAGCACTTTTCTTTACTCTTCATTTGTTTCACTTTTGCGCATGGACTTGTACGCACATGTGCGCAACAGGAAATGTGACAAATTTAACATATCACTGTCATTATATTTTTAAAGTATTTTCATTAAAAAGTAACTGACATGCTTTCTAATGAATTACGTAGGTTTATCGACAACTGTTGATCATAATTTAAAGTTTACGTACAATTTGTAAATTATAACTTGGTTACAAGTTGTTTACAATTACACTCATTGTTTGAGTTGTATTTATATGCTTACAAAAGTACGCTTTTGAAAACTTACAAACGTCAAAACGTGACAATGTCAGAAATGGCACTAATAATTCGTGTTATGTCTTTCATTCGAATAAAAAATGTTGTTTGATACGAGGGAGAAAATCAGTTTTTCGAACTCCTGACGATACTTTTCGCCCTTGTATCGAAAACTACTATTTTACTTTTCGCACATAGGCCATAATCATTATGAAGCACTAGGTGTTCTACTTTTGCGCCCACAGTATACGGGAAAGTAAATATATCATATTGTATGATGGTATAAGTGTAAGCTCCAAAAACAAAAAAATGTCCGGTTATGGGAGGTGGCCCTGTAATAAAGTTAAGTATTTAATTAAAAAGCAATATTTATTTTCAGCTGTTTTATCACATTTTTCAACGCGTCTTCAAGTCTGGAACAAATAAATAGGCAAAATGAATTAAACGAAATTGGAAATTGAAGGTAATCATAGAGAAAACAAAGTTGGTATATCCAACTTGTAAAAAGGGAAGAATGCTTGGAGAATGTTTTTCATTATTACCTTCACTTCCTTCGTTATGGGTCACTATACCGTATACGTGGGCCATTAACTGTAACTGTGAGCTGTGAGATCTTATTAACGGATATCATATGTTTTAGACAATGATATGATTGTCTAACTAACAAATCTTGCCTGCTTAGTATTTTTTTACTTTTAATTTATACTTTATATGGAAAATGTCACTTTATGGAAGAGTGTGCCATAGTTTGTTCAGAATATCTGTACACATTTTACTTAATGAATCTTACATTTAGCAATTTATAAATATTTTTGTGATATATGTTCTAAGTTAACTTTTGTACAGTACAATAAAGACTTTGAGGATTTAGTATTTCGTCTTATTTAGTACAATCTACGAGGAGATTGAAGTACTAACGTCGGATTTAAATTGGACTTTATCGGCCTTCTTCACACAATGGCGGAATACGCCGTAAATTGCCACATTGCATGGTGAACCAATAAAAACGAAGGGTTTATGAATCGAAAGAAGCCTTCTTGTTTTAATTCTAAGCGCCTATTTTAAACCTTTTTAAAACTGGGTACGCGCCTCAGGATATAAAAGTGCGAGGTATATAATAGCTTACTTGTCGATCTAGGCATATAATGTACTATTACATGGTTTCACGACTCCTTATGAGTGGATTCAGTCGGGGTGAACTCTTGTCCGAATTTTTTCTTGCTTAAGAGATACAGGAAAAAATTGTCAATTTCGAAATGACCCATTTTTCCTCAGTAAAAAGATATACGGAAAAAAGAAAGTTTTCATTAAACAATTTTCTGTATCTTTTAACTGATCATTTTGAAATTGACTTTTTTGATTTGCCCCTGATCGATGGCATTCATCTTTTATTACAAAAAATTTAATAGCAAAAATCTTTGGAAGGGAGTTTCTCAAAAAAAACTGGCATACAATTAAACTATTTTGCTCTAATCACTTCATATATTAATAAAATCGACAGAACTACTTCTCAATAAAAACAAAGTTCGATGGGTTTAACACAACACAGTGGGAACAGTTAAAAAATGTGATTTTTGTAACTGGTTTATTTCTCTAAACAAGTTATAATTAATTAACCATCTTCAATTCTTTTTTTCTCCAAATCGCTTTCATTTTCGACGGTTATTTCCCTAGTGGAACTCTTTAACGTGAAAACAATGGGTAGCTCTGCCAAAATCGGATTACCATCAAGTTCTAGGTGTCTTATCCATGAAAGCAAAGAATCTTTACTGGATGTGCCTGTAGCACACAATGAGTATATGACGCCATCTTCTTGTTCATGCACGGATGGCATCACTTTTACCAAATTTTCAATAGGTGGTTTAAAATTAAAAAATGGAGCTTTAATATTCTCTACATTGTCTGGATTTTCCAATGTATCATCGAAAGATCGCGGTTGGCCACGTAAAATAAAGTAGTTGATGTAATTCCCACGAAGGAAGACTGTGAAAGGTCCCTCTACAAATACTGGGACCTTAACGCTATTGTCACTTAAAAGGCGCTTTTGTGAGACACTTTGTGCACTTATAATCCATGTGTCGTCAACTGAATCTTTGATATCTGCAGTCTGATATATTGTGACTTGATTAGTGGGATCTACATTACTGATCCTTTCTATTGCCAGTTTAGCCAACTCGTAAGTGTCTTTGGGTAAGGGGTCTGGTAGAGGAAACGGCGAAGCATATCTCCATTTAGGCATCCAATACATCATTCTCCAGTATCTCCTCACGGGAAAAGCTCGCCTGCCAAATATCGCAACAAGCTGGTCTTCCATGTCAAAATCAGGAAGTACATTATTTTCTTCCATTTGACTAAGCAAATCAATGATACATTGCTGTTGTTTCGGATAGTGCATAAACTCGGCCTGTATTAAATTTTGGGCAACAAACTTTCCTTTCGGCAGGACATCTATTAAGGTCCTGTAAACCTCTAAATCTCTGTGTACTCCGAATTCTTTCATATGCTTCAGTGCTGCATAGATAAATTCAACATGTCCTCTTCGATACACATGCTCTTTATCAATATATATGTTAATCATTTGCAGATACGTGTCTTTGTTCTTGTCCCTCACTTCTTGAAATCCATCTCTAATTGTTACAGAGGTTTTGTCTTCCTTAGTTTGCTCCTTAAAATGTAGAGGTGAAACTTTAAAGTATCTTTTGGTAACATTTTCACTGCACTGTCCCGGTAGGTTTTTACACTTGAATAAAAGTGAACTTCGTTGAAGTAGTTTTCTGATCAACATGGCAAATCAAAAGGTATATTATATACTCGAATAATAACATACATCTTTTAATTAATTATTACATTTAATTGAACATTTTCATTTATTACTTAACCTCAATAAGTTTGTAGGTTATTCTATTCACAAAACATCCCCCCTAGGGGGTATGTTCTGTGATTCTATTCATCTTCTTTTTTCACTTTCTTCCACTTCTTTATCTTTAGCACAGCTCCTTCAAGGCTATTTTGCCAGCTTTTTCACTTTATCTTTACGATGACTCATTTTTGTAACACCACCCTGTGGATGATTACTGCACGAAGGCAAGTTTCATTAAGTACACATTTAAGTAGAAATTAAGAACTTTTCAAAAATTATCATGAAAATCATAATCGCAGTGTTTGCCATCTACCAGACTAATCTCAAAATGCCTTGATATATGAATATCACAAGAATAAATAAATTCGGCCTAATTTGCATTGCATGAATTAATTTTACAAATGCGAGTTGGTATGAGGTTTACTTGTTAAAATATATTCTTGTTCCCTTAATGCGACCAGCCTGTAATGATGTTGTCCCCGTGTAATTGCATTCTGTAATTGAATTTTCCCATTAATATGCTTATTCGCTAAGTAAGATTCAGAAATTAATAATATATAATCTCCTGGACAAAATTAGAAGGAGATCGTAAAAAGTTCCCATTATTACCCTAATTTTTTTCGAATCAAAAAAATCGAAATGTTTATATTTTGAATACATAATTGGTAAAATGAGTAAAAAAGTTGATTTTTAATAGTATCATTAAACCATATCTTGACTATGGCGGATCCCTACTTTATTTTGGAAACAAACCAAAAAACCAATGAGCATTTTGAATTGCCCCAGATATAAACCAATAAAAATATGTTGAAGTCTCTCTTGATTGTAGTGATATAATTGTTTAAGCTAAAAGAGTTATAGATTAGAGATAATTCTTTCCAGCTTTCTGCAAGATGAGGACCTATCCTCCATTTTCCATTTTCTATCCGTTGTTCCTCAAAAAGTTCACTACACTTTTACAAACTACCGCACTTGCCAGAAGCTTCACAATGATTCTACATTTCCCATTAAGAACGCGATTCACACGACACAAAGGATCATCGACCAATTTCGTTCTCTGTCGATATCAAACTCACATTCAAACACCTTTTCGACAAAAAAGACATCGAACTATAGAATAAACATGATTATTTAATCATTTCGGGTTCGCCCTTTCGATGATTCATGCTTTGCTTGGCAGTTCGATTTCACTTTGTTTATATATTTTTGTGGAAAGTGTCTGATCGCATTGCAATATTTCCAAAGGGAAATTTCACGTTCCAACTTACCGAAAATAAACAACTAAACGAAAAACGCTCCGAGCGCCGATCTTCTACTAATTTAATTTTAAATTAGCGCCATTTAAACTTGTCTTAATTTCATTCATCTACAGTAATTAATGCACAACGCCAAAACTACAATTAATAACCGAATTAATTTTGTTTTTCTAAAAATATTGCTATCAATCTGTTGCTCAATTTCCGAGCGAGGATAGAAATCGACGAAATTTCAACCAATTATTCCGCTACAAGCGCAATTCGAGGTGCGGCGCAGTAAGGAGCGATGAGTTATAACTCACGAGCTCACAGAGCGGCATCAACTCAAAAGCGCAACTCAACACAGTGTTATTCAGGCCTAGTGTTGAACGTGTGAAGTGTAACAATGAAAAAATGTATAGCAACATCAACAATTTTATTTTTCCTTCGGTTTCACTTACTTAGCTTATTCAAAATATCAATATGTATGTAGGTACATGTACAGTTGAAACTGTATGTTATCCAATTAATTAAAAATAAAATAAATAGACCCAACCATGCCCATTGTCATTCTTGTTTAGCTAAAGAAAAAAATCGATTTCAAAAGTGAACTGTATAATCACACAGCCAATCCAGTATCCAAGCCCATAAACTGTTTACATAATTCGTATGTCGAAAAGGAAGTGGCTACCATTGGAGTGGCCCTCATATAGTTTATGGACATTCCCCTGTAAAGGCCTTTCATGATCCCATGATCCGCATAGATGTGCTTTAATGTTTTAACCATTCCATGGCCTAAGTGCTGTGTTTCTGGCTTCATCATTGCGAGTTGCATGCGTCTTCTCGTAACATCCAATGGATAACTAAAGCTTTGAGCGATTGCCCCGGCCATTCCCCCACAAAGAAGCTTTGCTGGAACTGTCAGAACCACCCCGCCTAAGGAAAAATAAAATAGTAAAAATTGAAAATGTCCTGGAAACTGATTTACCAGTATTTTTTGGACAAGGTCGTGAAGTCCACGTTGGCAAGTATCTTAAACAGCCATATTTCAGATACTCAAAGCAATAAAAAGACAGCCCTGCATAGGGAACCATGCCCATTAGAGTAGGCGCGAAACCTCGATAAAGCGCTCGGAATCCGCCTTCGTCTTTAAATATGCAAGTTGCGGTGTGTAATATACCTGTATATACATGTTCACCACTTATCTGTAATAAAACATATCGATATTAGTGAACTGATCGCACGATTAAGTTCATCAGCAAGAGTATTTGTAAAATATTCTCATCCGAATTTCATGGCGTTAAAGTGTTTAATGTTCAAAAAATGGTGTTTACCGTTTTCAAGTGAACGAAAATGAAAGTATATGACTAGAAATACTGCATCTCTTAATTTGCAAGTACGTGTAAAACTAACTCTAAGAGATTCGATTTACCGTTAAATGTTTTGATGTCAGTCAGAAAACAACAGCAGAAAATCTAGCGTATGTTCATGTCACGACCAAAATTCTCTTAAAATGTGGGCAGTAGTTTATACAGTGAACCCTGTATACGAAATGAACAAAGTTCGGCATTTGTGACTGAGACTTAAAGAACTTGGAAAATTTTTCAGTTCATGGACGATCAGAGCGTGGAAAATATTCTGCGATGGGAATTTACAGAGGAAATTTAAAAAAAAGGACTAATTTACTTAGGCAAGCAAGTAGAAGGTCCCAGTTTTATACATACAAATTTTTCTATACGAAATCTTAAAAAACCAACTTTTTAAAATCTTAAACCCTCATTTTTTTCTCAGAAGTGTGTTCAGCTTTAAATGTAAATATGTATCACTTTCTATTAACTGACCTACACCTGAAAAGCGCATATTTCATTTTATTAAAACGCCACTCTCTTTCAAGCAGCTTATTAATAATTATTATATTATAGTTTTTACAATTCCTACATAATTAACAACATAAACCTTTTCTTTCCCGCAAAACATCAAACTTAATAATTAATGAAACGCAACTTAATAATTAATGAAAAAAAAATTAGTACGAAGCAATAAAGTGTATATTTCAAGAAATATTTCTGATCCTGAAATATTTCTGAAATAATTATCGACTATTGCGCACAATTATATTTCACTATCCATTAAGGATTTGCCTGAATTTACTGGTTACGACAAGTATTTCTTCATTTTTTCCACTCGATTATGAGTGGGTTTATCAGTAGCAGTAAATTGGTTGGATTTAAGAAGGTAAGTGCTGTTGAGATTGACTAATCTAATCGAGTTTCTTTTTGTTTTAAGAGTCTCATAATTGCCCACTTTTGGCATGCTTACCTCACAGTTGGCATGCTGGAAAAATTGCCTAAAAACCACTGAAGTGGATGAAAAGAAATTCAGTACATTTCACATATGTTGCTGTAAGTGTTTTATCTTGACGAACCCAAAATTAATATTATCAACTTAAGATAAAGTATAAATTTTGTCAATAAATTAATTTTCAAGAACTCTATATGAATTCTTCAAAATCTTGATTAACAAAAATGTTCCAATTCCTTATATACGTATTTTCGCTTTTTAAATGAAGATGAGCTAGAAAATTGTTGGTAGCTCGCAATTTATCTCGTATTTTTAGTGGACAACAATTGATGTTTTATAGAATATTGTCGATATATTAAAAATGCAGTTGTTTCTTAACGTAAATAAAATGTAAAAGTTTAACGAAGCTTTGCTACAATACTATTTTTACAGCGAAAAATTTTTTGGGCCTTAAATTTTGTGGGCATTTCCAACAATACGAATGGAGAAGCTGGTAAAAATATAAACTTTAGTATGTGCCTCCATAGCCGAGGCCAGTTATGTGTATTGTTGCCGGTTATTGGTATTGTAGAGGGCAGCACTTGTAATCTTAAGAATGAATATATTGCAAAATCAATCTGTATGGTATTAAAAACTTGAAGTAGAAAACGTACTTTCGAATTTCCCTTCATATCTCGACATGTAAATTATTAGTTAAAAAATCGAGAATAAAATTACATAAAGAATTTGAATTTTTTTTATTTAAGTTTTTTATTCTAGTCGATATCTAACATTAAGAATAATACATTCTCAGATCGCGCCATGTAACAGACATTTCCGATAAATTAAAGATGTGATTGTCCCGAAGTTAAAGTCGATTCTTGCAACTGAATTAAACCAATTTTTAATAACGCCCCTGTCAAATAGTGTACTTTTTTAAGTGTCACCGGTGACAGAGCGCTGACAGCACATATTCGACCAATCCCCGAGTTCAAAAGACCAAAACTTGACACTTATTTTGATTAGATGTCATTGTGACTTATTTTGTTTAGTTCTACTCAGCTTTTGCAAGCCTTTAAACAGATAGAAACATATTGAAAAATGTGTAAGTATTGTTTTATGTTGTAGACTTTAAAAAGTTAAAAGGCGAGTAATGTTTACGTTTGGCAGCACTCCCATCGGTAGTTGAACTCGCGAATAGTTACGCCAATTAAAAGCTAATCGTACATGTAACGTTGAAAGGTTCATTATATTAACCAACAAAAATCTATCGGGATACTTTATTTTAAAAAAACGTTAAATTATTTTTCCATTTTTCACAAGTAACCTCTAAAATAAATTGCTGCGATTTGAAGTCACCCTGTACTTAAAAATAATCCTAGTTTTTTCTTTATCATATTTGTGCCCCTAAGCAGTACATCCACAGTGAATACCGATTTCGCTAAGATCTTGGAATAAACGTGAATTTTCGAATTTTAGTTCCTTGAAATCCACTTATTTTTCTATTGCGCACTAGCACTAGCAAATATTTAATTTGCTTTTTGTAAGTGAAATATTGAATCATGTTGATGTTTATTTTCGTATTGCGCCAAGTTCTTCGTAATGTATAAGAAATTCGTAGAAATATTTACAGTAGAGTGTTTATAGGGTTTATTAGGTAATTGCACCTGGTCTTTCCAATATATTTTTTTCGATTTGGGTTTGGAAATTAGTGGGTCTCAATTATTTGAAACTTTACTTTACTACTCCAGATTTCCATCCTTTACTACCACAGATTATACATACAAATTCGAATAAAATAAACTAGTCAAATTACTAAGACAGCATTTACTTGCGAATTTTTGGTAAAATCAACACAATCACACACAAAAAAATTATAAATGTATGTAATCGACAAAGAAAAATGAGGGTGTCTTGCTCGGAAACTATTAATAACCAGAAACAGCACTGCCATAAAATATAATTCAACCATACATTAATTTTGAACGTTTTTGATAAATAAATTAGACATAAATATTTTTCGGCAAATTGAAGGTTCCATTACTTTGGGAGGCTCAAATTTAAAAAAATAATATTATTCACATTCTTCTCTATGTCTTTAAATAATATTTAAACAATTTGTTAAACTCACCTGGAAAGCAAGTCTTGCTCTTATTGTATCTAACGGGTAAGTCAAAAATACTGCTGTTACACCTGCAGCCGCTCCTGCTATAAATTTATCAATATGGGATTTTTCGCCGAAAATGCCATCCAAGTACTTTTTGAAGATCTCAAAGGCTGTGAACTGAGAAGCGGCATAGGGGAATATTCGCACCATTTGAGCACCATTACCCTTTGAAAAAAAAATCGCTGAAATTGTTTCAGTGTCTTAAACGAAAGTGGAAAACGTACTTTGTAAAGCGCTAAAGGTCCCTCCCTCATTATGATATGTTTAATGCCACCAAACATCCCATGATTCTTGTGATGAAGATTGTGTGCTTGCAATAGAATTTTCACTCTATCTAAAGGGGCTACAGTCGTTTTAGAAACCATTCCAGCAACTCCTGTAAATGCATAAATAGTACAAAAGTAGTAAGTTACTGATGGTATTGGTAAGCATCTTGAATGGCATTAAGTGTATCCTACATTGTCCGGTTATTACCATAGCGTTTGCTATAAGTATCAGTTACAAATCATAACTGGCAGTTGTCTTAAGCCACCATAGGAAATCCTCAGAATACATCAGATGCATTTATACTTTAAAATAACATTGATTACTTTTTTGGCAGCCAACCAAATTATTTCATTTAAAATCGACACGTAATAAGTATTTAGTTACAGTCGAATATATAAACTATACAGGATGGTCTGCACTGAATTCTCTATTGTGCGAAATTTAGGTTTAGTTAAGTAGAAATTTTGAATCTAAACGTAGTTTTTTTATCAAAACTTATTAATGGAAAGCGATGTCCGAATTTTTAATCACGCCTTTGCTTGACTGGTTGCTTCCATGGTAAAAAGATACCTGTTTATTATCCATAAACCAGCCGGTTTTCGAAAAATTGTGAACCGAAATCATTTAAACTTTTTATATTGGTCTAGCTAACAGAGACAAGCTAGAATAAATGCACACTGTGCAACATAGCATGGAAAAGAACACCGTGTCAGTAATTTACACAATATTTGTAAAGATATGTAAGAATATTTTAAATTTTGAGATAAAATCAGATTATTCACAAACAACTCTCGGAATGCGGATATGGAATATTCAAATTAACTCATACGTTGCGTTTTGATAGTTTTTAAGTTGACCTTAAAATATTTCAATCGCAGACAATGCATGTATACACTATAACTTTGATCGCAAGTCATCAGTGGCGAAATTTGACTACCAACATAAAAACAATTATGCATGAAAATTGTGTGATAAGGCGAATCTTTTTTATTGTGTTTTGGGCATTGGAGAACCTCAAGCAATCATAAAATGCAAAAGAACTTTAGAATACGACCTAATTTAAAGCGACGTTGATTATGTTCATCTTTATTTTATTTAATTATTAGGTTGGTGAAAATTACAATGCTGCCGAATGGATCGAAGATTTATCGGAATTGTTTTTAATAAAAAATCCTGTTGCATTTGTTATGTACTTGTCCATGACTTTTGCGTTAGCGGTATATTGGTGCTTTTGCAATAAACCATTATTCCATAAAGAATAATCAGCAGAAGCGAGATAGCATTGAGAAAAATTAATACTGCTTCGAGATTTATGTTTATCTATATAATTTGTGGCGGGTATGGCAACAACGCTCGACAGACGATTGATGACGTGCAAGCATAGTTATAGTGAACGAAGTATACAGGGTGTCCCGTAAGCACATGATCAAAAGAATACTGCGATATTCTTTGCATCAAAAGACTGACCTAACTTTTATTAACAAAAAATGTCTGGCTCCTCTGCTATGGATGGTCAAAGTTCTTCAAAAATTGGTCTTTATTGAAATATCGGGAGAATGGTACGATGTATTTTGGTGAAACACGCTGAGAATTTGTTCTTAGGTAAGACTCATATTTTGATGAAATAATTTGAAAAGAAATTCTATTAAAGCAAGTCATTTTTAACAGGAACGCGGCTCAATTGAAGTAACACATATTAAAGTACATAAGTACAAAGAGTACATAGCATCGCATCATAAGATAACCGCTCCTTGAGAAAGGAAACATTGAGTAGGACTCAATTCAATTTCAATTAGTTATTTATCCTACTATCATCTACTTAATTTCAATGGAGAATTGTTTGTTGAGTACGTGCTAAATTTTTTTACGTGTTAACATATATTATAATAATGCTTTCTGGGATGCCATATGCAAAATTGGAAAATGGCAAGACACAGAAAAAACACATTTTGCACATTGCACAACTGTGAATACTACAGGATTTCGCAAAGAACAGGAAAATCTAGAAAAATTAATTAATGCATCAACTAAATCAACTGAATTGATTCCAGCTGCCAAAAGAGGAGTTCTGCTAGTTTTCGAACCATACAGTCAATAATGTATTCCTTGCCCAATACGTATGGCAGCGGAAGCTTAAGTTTCCGAAATGAGTGTTACCCAGGAAAACATTAAATTTGCAAGTTTCACTAAAAACCATTGCAAATTTCTCTCAATACTACAAAGAAGCTAACTGTTTTCATCAAGTTTGACCATCAAATACGAGAAGCCCGATATTTTCCTTAATAAAAGTTAGGCCAGCTCATCTTCTTTTGAGCCAACGAGTGTCGCAGTACCATTTTGATGATGGCTTATGGGATAGCCTGAATACTACTACTTTTATTTTATAGCTGATTTTATAAATAAATGTGTATTATTATTTATATTTGTTCTTTTAATCACAGCAATAATTGATTGCATTTCTTAATTCGTGCTGCTAGTAATAGTAGTTAATAACTAATATTTTATATTAGTTATCAAATTCTAGTACCTTCCTTAATAATAATCATAATTGATTATATCGGATTTATAAAAAATGTACCCTCATTTTTCAAGACACATTAACTAAATAAAAATTAAGTATAAATGACAATTCCAGGAAAAAAAACAACATTTCATCCAATCATTGTGGTGTAAAATGGAAAATGTCTAGGTACAATGTGAAAGTTATAAATATAATTGCTTTAAACATTCTCACACACTTACCTCCACATCCCAAGTTTTTTAAAACTAGTAACACTTGCAATTCCTGCTTCCCAGTTTCACTTTTCAAGCTCGACATTTTCTAAGCTCTTTATTTTCAAACGTAAGGAATTTTCGCAACAGGGTTTCAATTTTCTTTTATTCATTCAAATCACCAACCAATTGTAAATAGCAACTTTCACTTGCCGTCTTCATTTTATTTAAATATCGCTTTATTGGGGGCATGGATTTTGTTCCAAATATGAAATCATTTCATTCAATTTTAAAGAAATAATTACTTAAGAGAAAAAAAAACAAGATTACAAGTGTTTAAAAATTCACACGCGCTGTTTTTCATGCAATGCTTACAGAGAATAATCACAGAATAACACAATAATATGGCCCGTACAAAAATAAGCGATTCGCGAATTTATTGTTATGGTAAATGCGCTCCTATATTTATCAATATCTATTTAAAATCTTGAGCAAAGTTCATTCTGCTTTAGTATCACCCGATCTCCAAATTCTACATTATTTTCTTAAATATTACTTAGGTTAGTTTCACCGTTAAATAACAATTTATATGTCATTTCATAGGTAAAGACGATCAAGGCCATAGATAAATACATAGATAAAGACAAGTAAAGATAGCCCACTCCCTTGCTGTGGAATGTGGAAACGGTGGAAACAACGTGGAAACAACTTTCACACCACGATCTAACATTTCGGTACCCAAATTTCTACTATGGTGGTTGGAGTTATTTTTTATTTTCGTGTTTGCATCCCTACTACTGTGTATTCAGGGTTGCGTCCCTACTAGCGTATATTCAAGGTTGGCGCCTGAATTTTGCAACCCGCGAGTTCAACTGCCACCGATGGTGGCGTTAAATTACTCGTTATCGAGTGACAGTTGAGACTTGTCAGACTTGTTTATTTATTGGAGTTGATGAGATTCATAAAATAAAACAATAGTTATACACTTTTCGATTTGTTTCTATTTCTTTACGCTTGCAAAAGTTGATAAAAACAAAAGAAAACAAATCACAATATGACGTAAACATCAATGTGACACTAATGTCAACAAAACAAGTGTCAAATTACTACTTAAAGAGTAATTAGTAAAACATTTTTTTCGAATTAAGAAATAATAATTTTGATGTCTTTTGTTATCTCTATATTAAAGAGAGTTGCCTAAACTGCGCAGTCTTTATTTTATGTGGAATTGCAGAGTTACCACCTAAATTATAGTGTCACTTTTGACGTTAGTCTGACATTATTTCGCCGTCAATACAATAGCAAAGATACTTTTTAATTTATTAATCGTTCATTGTGCGAAATAAATTTCTGTGCAAGAAAGTTTCCCACTAATAGCTACAATGTCGTTAAACACGGCACACATAAACGGAGGAGTATTGATTCACTCTGGCGAACAGTATGTATAATGTTTAATATTGGTCTATATATATTTGTTTTGGATTACTTGACATTGATCACCCAAATTAGTATTTTTAGTCATACCCATTTGCATCATTTTGCACTAATTACGGCACTTTCTAGAATCATACTTTTCTCCGACAATGTACACGTTGAATGGTCCGGACAAGATGCTAGTGCTTTCAAAAGCAAGAAAAGCGGAAGAATTTTCCTTACTACACACCGAATTATCTTCAACAGTAGTTCCCAATCAGATGAAATGCAGAGCTTTAGCTTCCCTTTCATTACCCTTAGTGAGGTACGTCTTTATCCTTTTGAAGTGTTCAAATATCGTCACAATTGTGTTTCTTAGGTTGAGATTGAACAACCAGTTTTTGGGGCAAATTACATAAAAGGGAAAGTAAGAGCACAACCTAATGGCAACTGGGTAGGAGAAGCAAAATTCAAGATTACATTCAAACATGGTGGAGCTATTGAATTTGGACAGGCTTTATTAAGAGTTGCACAATATGGTAAGTGATTAATTTTTTTTTGTTTTTAACATATCATGATCTACAATTTCCGACTTTACGACGAAAAGCTTTATATTATCCCAAGATTATTACCTATTCTTTTTGGTGTTGTAATAGTCAAAATTTAAATTTCCAATTGCAACTTAGCGGTACTATTTAGCTATTACTAATAATTACTTAACATCAGGAGTGTAAAATATGTATTCAAAAAAAACTTTATATCCCTGGAGGGTACATCTTAAAGAATTAGTTAATTTCTAAAAACATTTCTACTGATTATTTTACAGATTAATTCTATAACGAATTCGGATTTTTTCATTATTTAAACGTACCTAATGAATAATTGGATATCAATTGTGTTTACTCACTTTCTCCGAAAAGTGATGCAGTGTATTTCATCAAAGAAAGTTGGTTGATTCGTCAGGTGTACGCCGAATAACATTTTCTATATGAACTAATAAATGCAATTTCTTGTAACAAATTTTGACTTCAATTAATATTTTAATTCCGATAAATTAATTTAATATGAATATCTTTGATATAATGGAATGGATATATATTTTTATATTGCTCCATACGTTTTCAGCAACACGAGGAGCAATGAATAATGAGCCGCCACCGTATGAGCCCCCACAGCCACAATGGTATGCTGCTCCTCCCCCAGCCTATGCGCCTCCCCCACAAGGTAACTCTAAGGTGATTGATAATTGATTCGTTTCTAAATGTCCTTATTTCTATAGGTTACTATGGATGGGTGCCCCCCACCAATGTATTTCCACAACATCCCCCAACTGATGCCGTGTTTATGACTGACGTCCCACCACCATACCCCGGAATATACCCAGGCGGACAACCAAACGGTTATGGCCCAGGTCAAGGATATGGAGCACCAGGCGGTTATGGACCTCCTCCAGGAGCAGCGGGTGGCTATGGTCCCCCTCAAGGAGCAGCTGGTGGTTATGGTCCTCCTCAAGGAGTGGCTGGTGGGTATGGACCTCCTCAAGGAGGCGCAGGCGGTTACCCGCCAGGAGCCCCTAGCGCTCGATTTACAAATGCAGCAGGTAATGTTATTAAAGTTCAAAGCGTGATCAGAGATAGCGCTGAATCTACGGTTTATCAGTAATTAAATAAGTAGGCATGTTGCATAAGTGACGATTCATGCTTCCAATATCAATAAATAATGTAATTTTCGGTTGTTGGAACGTATGAGAACCAGCGAATTTCCAGCTCAACATGTGAGTGTGAGTGTGAGTGTGATTGAGGTACTAATGACTAGGGTTTGTTTCAATGATTACTATGTAAAACCTTTTTTTTGAACCTTATTAATGTAAGGTCTGAATTGAAATGATAATATTGGAAGCGGTCAAACTATTGCTTAACAGTTTATTTACAATGAAGTTATGCTTTCGTTCAAAACCTAAAATAATTTTTGTTTAAGACGCCAAAGCGGCTGAAGCTGCCCAGTCTGCTTATTATGATCCGAACCGGCCCCAAATGGCATATGTACCACCTCCAGCATATTATGTAAGTATATGTTCTATATTTATTTATGTAACATTGAATATTCTCTCCTATAAAGGTCAGTTTTTGAACTTTTAAGAAGCTTAGATTGTTAGGAAAAAAAAGTGCTAGCAAAAGACTTACATCATTTGTTGTTTCAGGAAAATCCGCCAAGCTATAACCAAGCAATGACAAACAATAAGAAAGAGCAGTAAGGGAATTAGAATTTATCTCACATATTTAGCGCTATATGTTTATGCATACTTACCTACCAAAAATAATGTTTTATTATAGGGTAATGTGACACAAGTATTCTTATGAATATTATTCTACATACAGTATACATTAATACTCGAGGATGATGTTAGTTTATATTCTTTTGGTATTTAATCTAATGGATATCAGAGCTGTATAACTGCTTTCGATCTTTTGAAATCTACCATTTCCGAATTGACACTCCGCAGATTAATCATTTGATGATTTTAAAATCAGGCAGTTCTGAATTATCTATGGCATGAATTTTAAGATTATGAAACATTTTACTCCAAAAATGTAATGTTGATAAAGTCAGTCTCAAAATCACGAACAAGAAATGACAAAACAATGAAAACATTGTAATTGACTTATGGTAATTAGAAGATATGTACTTCTTAATAAATGTTGATCTTTAATTGTATATTAAAAAGAAAACTCTATTTGGTTTAAATACCAAAACTTTATGAATAATAACTAATGTTATAGATTAGAAAACTGTATATTTGTTATTGCATTCCGTTTGTTTTCTTTAATAAAAAAGTTATGCTGCAATGTTATTTGCTTAAGTAAAATAAAAATAAAGCAAAATAGAAAATCAATATTAGGTTAGGCACGGCTTTTGGATAATGAAAACATGCATTTAACTATGTAATAAAATTAATTTAAGTTAACTAAGGTTTTTATTTCGTCACTCACGTTTCATACGGTTTCTCATAAACAAATGATCAGAAAGTAATGCCATATTTATGAGATTGCAAAAATCAATTAATTTTTTTGGCGTTTGTATTTGATAAGATTTATTCTTATAAATATATATTAATAATTACAGTTTTACTTAAACACGGGGTATTTACTTGATTTCGTTAGTATGTTGTAATAGAAGCCATCAGTGGGATGCAGTCTAGGACCCTCTTCAATACTAAAAGCAATAAAGTAACAAACAATTAGTTCCTGTTGACAAGAATCACCGATTTACGATTTACCGAGGTATTAAAACTAAAAAGATCTGAAAAATTGAAACTCATGTGAATTCAATTTTACGATGTTCCTACACAAGCTAAAATACTAGCAACAAGATGAAACAAATAGATTTAAAACTACAATTATTTTACCCTTTATAATGCTCTTTCTAAATTAGGTACTAAATGCAAAATATTTTTTTTACGATTTTCTATTTAATTGTATAGGAATTGAACAAAACAAATTACCTTTTTATTCTTCTTTCAATTTTTCTAGGTGCTTTAATTTGATTCCATTTACTAACTTTATGTTCATTGAATATCATAACACCTGAAACTGCTGTCCAAAGAGCCATCAGTAGGAGTTCATGGTTTTCCCAGTTTTCTAAAAGACCCAATGAAAAGCTTAAAATATCGGCTGTTTTTTGAGCATCACCCAAAGCACCAAAGTATTTTAAGTAGTTTTCAAACAAAAAGGACGTGAATTTAGCAGGTTGTATACTAAATTCGTCTACCAGCTTTTGTAGGTCACAGTCTAGCTTCCAAGCAATACCTAAAAAGACAAGAATCTCATTAAAGATATTATGACAAGATGGAAGACAAACAAGAGGTTTAAATAAACTACAGAAGAACTTTGAATATTAAATCTGTAGTGCTACAAAGACTGTTTGAAAATGAAAATTAATATAAGTCCCGACGCTTTTACTCATACATTGGATTGTCGTACTATTATGTTATACATCATACATATAGATTATGCAATTTTATACTACTATACCTTCATTTCTTCGTTTAGGGTTTAACACTCTTCCTAGTCCATGAAATAAACCCAACGCTTCA